CTACAGTGCCCTACCGATATTGAACACTGCATTCGAACACTGCACTGAAAGGGGGTACATTCGAACCACCCAGCAGCACCCCGAGTAGGTAGTTATCCCAGTTAAATAATGAGCAGTGACTGATGCTGGATAAAAACGTATTGCTTTTGCATGCGCGAGTAGGCACGCCCAAATGCGTAGCTTATGTTTTTGCTTATACAAACCCGTTACACTTTTCCTTCTGGGTACGCGGCAACTTATTACGGTTGACGCCTAGAAGAGGACATGTCTGCACCGAGCAGCACAATTATTCTGGTTATGTTCTAATAACAATCCTTGTTTTGGTTGGTAGCGTTGTTTGATCATCTGAAATTGCTTCTCGTCTTAAATCTGGCAATGTCTCTTTGGAGAAACACAAATAAAACTGTTCGACAATCCTTTGGGGAGGTAAAGCTGATATATTTTGTCGCGCTTCGTATTGTTGAGGTCCGCTCCACAATAATAAGTGCCATGAATCCAATCACCGCTTTGTTGGGAGTTCGTGAAAGCATATTTACAGCTATCCGCTCCGGCTCTAAGCTCTCCCAGAAAACAGACGAATGTTTAAACGAATTTATGATTCCTTTACTTCAGGCGGTACCAAACTGTCAATACAAAGCAATTGGTCTAGATAGCTTTGAACAGTTTATATTGCTTCAGTGCCTTAACTCTGGGATTTTAGATCAGTATACCCGAGAGAAATACCATTCACAAGCAGACTTTTCGCTGATGTGAGAGGTGGCCTGCCTGCTAGGGCAGCACACAGCAACTAGCAGCGCTCACACTTGAGGAACCATCGGATGATTTGCAATTGGATCATAGCACTACAAAATCTCCTGAGAGAAAGTTGATGTCTGGCTTCTTGGTCAGTAGGTGATGGTAATGCAAGCACAGTGCTGGGGTCTTGTGAACGAGTTTCTGAAAGGAAACAAAGATAGATGTTTGTTTATTTATACCGTTCCAAGGAGAAAATGTTTCAAAGGAAATTAACCATAACATTACGTCAGCTGTAATGCGAACTTATGCCACCGAGTGTCTACGAATTCTTCACACCACACGATGACTAGAGCTCAACTACCATCCTGAAAGTTTGTCAGTCGGTTTGGCCTCACATATGATTTATCAGTGCACCTGGAGCTGCGGTGATTTCTAGGTAGGCAAGACCGATCTAGGACACAAAGTGAGGCTGAAGATTTTCCAAAGTGGTTAAATCAATCCATGGTAGAACTTAGAGGGAACGATCAATTGGAGGGACAAATTCTCGCCTCCCCTATTATAAAACCCCTCGTGATGAGAGGCCATCCCGTGGATCCATCAAAGAGCTTCAAGTTGCCAATCATCAACCGCAACTTGAAAATACTGGCAATCAGTGAGGCATTACTGATTGCGGTAAAGCGGCCGGCATTGGGCGCGCAAAAGCAGTTGAAGCAGTCTATCAGATAGCCTTGGTCTTGACTGCACAAGTTCGAATATCCCTATAATTTCTTTGAACGCGTACACACATCAGCTATTTTACCCAAAGGGATTACGTTTGCGCTTGATGATAATAATCGAAATTTTAACATGTCGCAAACTTTGTCTTCCATCTGCTCTGAGCAAGTGAGCAAAAGAGACACAATTGTTCCCTTTTTTCAAAAGATAACTTCTTGATATTGATGCGAAGCCATTTGCTCGGTTGTTTTCATCGCGGCGCAAATTAAAGATGGTACGCGTACAGATTAGATTATACAACGATTGTATCTAGTCAGGTCGAGATATATCTCCGTTCGCGAAAACTCTATCAAGGAACAATTGTAATTAAAGAAATCCATCTGGCTATGGTTGCATCTTTCCATAGTGGGCGCCTGAGCTAAGCGCAAGCACCCGTACCTTGTGACAGAAATGCGATTTGTGAGTATTCTTAACCGGTTATCGTTGGTTTGCCGCTTCAGGTTTGGAGCATTTTTGGCCGGAATTATCCGCTCTACGTGAGTTGAAATATTGCACAACTTGCAAGGCTTTCGTGCAAGAATCACCAAGGCAGCATTCTCTGACGAGTGCATCAAACACCTATGCAATCTTCCATCGACTCACTTCACAAGAAAACAGTTAGAAGTTCTTGCACTGGGATTAATGTATAGGCTGCCACCGAGGAATTTTAACCGGATGAGTACGCAAGTGAATTTTGTGTCTGCATGAGCAACTAAGCAAGTTATCACCGGGATCAACTGAAGGTGCGGGTGGTTTCATACGGAATTCGTGGGCATTGCAAACCGATTCCTTAACACACCAACAAGCCAAATGTGTTGTCTTTAAGCTGAACTTTGCAGTGCGATCAAAGTGTTGAAAGATGCAACTTGTGACCGTTTTGCAGCCGGATAAAGGATCAAGTGTTGTGAGCATGGACAAGCTGGACAAGTTGGACAAACATTCGCTTACAATGCTGGAAACTTGTTTCCGTCAATGACATTGCGACGAACTCTCGAGGAATGTCGTAAAGCAACGACTCGCATCAAACAAAGTATGATAGGGAATCGATGAGGCTGACGAGGGATTTCACTCCTGCTCTTGACCACTCAATGAACTTAATGAACTCAATGAACTCAATCTCAATATTCGTTTCAGTTCTGCGGGACAAATGTAAGTTCAAGTGGTCAACCCCGTTGGCATAAATCTTAAGATAGAAACCCGCTTGCTAGGACACTGAAAATCCTATGTTGCTTGGGTACATCACCGAATCAGTGTACCGGCAAAAGAAGACGATGAGAAAAGAAATCTCAAGGAGGAGAGGCGCTTCTGAGTCAAAACGATTTGTTGGTCTTCTTCCGGAGTACCTCATTGACCTGACATAAACATGTAGAGAAAATGTTCGTTTTGAATTTGAATGATCCGCATCTAGGAAACTCGATGGCGTTGCAATGGGAAGCCCACTATTCTTGGTTCTGGCCTACATATTAAAATGACTAAATGCAATGAACATCGCTGAAGTTATTAGTGAAGCTAAGCCGTATAAATGTTACTTGGATGATATTGTTCTTCATCAGCAAGAAGCCTTTAAACCTAAGATAATTATTCTCTTTTGCTGAAATTCGGATACTTGCATATTATCTATTCAGCAGGATCTCAAACTCAACAGAATGAAGAAGTAAAAAGACCTTGTCCAGAATAATAATGCGTTAAAAACATTCAAACTTGAACTGTACATAGGCAGCAGACCATGGCTTTGTTCATAGGTAAACACATGAGCTTCGATTGCTAGAATTAGAAGGTCGGCTACCGAAGTTAGTTGTTCCACATATATTTGAGCAATCATTCAGGGGTTTTGTAGCCACGTGCCGGTGTTAGAACATTCCAGGACGTTCGCGATTTATGCGATAACGTCTAACACTCGATTACTCGCTGAAATAATAATAAATAAACACTTTTGACAAGAGATTACAAGCTGGACTCCAATTCTAGTTTCGAATGGATTAAACTTTCTGCTAACCAAATGGGACCCGTTATCCTTGTAGAGTTATCCGGAATACTGAATAGGACAAATTAGGAAGGAATCAAAGGAAGGCGGAATCTGAGTGAATAATCCTTTTGGTAGATCTCGTCAGGCAAACTTCACATGATGGTGAGGAGGATGATGGATCCTTTACTCATAATCCGCCCTCCTTTGATTCTATCTATTGAAAGGGAATTACTGAATTGCTGGAGATTAACATACACCGTGATTCAATCAAACGATTAACGCATTTTAAAAATGGTTGTTACGGACCTCTCTTGCGTAAGGCGAAACACTTCAATCCAATTGGAAATGCTTAGATGGGCAACAGAATCCAAGCTGTATTTATCGGGTCAAATCTGTCATCGTGTATCTCTTGCCACGGACAACCGGGGTGGATTTTTTACCGCTTAGATGATAGAAAATCTTTTACCGGAAAATTTTAAAGGCTTCTTCAAAATAGTTTGCTAGGTGGAACAGTAGGATGGGTTCCCGTTATGATATTCGACTTCAGTAGCTTTCTATGCAATTTATAATCCTTTTTCTGCCAATAAAGATAATTCCGGCAAGGAATTATTTGTAAAAGTAGTTGTAACATTAAGCATGATAGATCCTCAGTTTGATTAAATTATGCTAGATGTCAACATATACACAAACATGCTACTGCTTTCTGCTGTCTGACGATAATATAAACACTTGAAGATATTCTGCTTCAAAGCACTAAATAACGCGCTGGTTATTAGGCCCGAAAACAAATATCCTTTACTTATTTTCGCATACCGGTCCGAAGTATTCAAATCTGTCAACAGTAAAGATCATGATTTGCTTAACACGCTAGGGTCAACGTAGCGTTTTAATAGGTGAATTTCAAACGGTTCTTTTCATTGGGTTCATTGCTGTTAGTAACGCTCCGATAGAAGACAGATTACCTGTGATTTAAGAAAGTCAGGACAATTAATTTAATTAGCTGCTTCACTAAGCTTCGCTGTGATAAATCCGAGCTACACTGATGTAGGATATGTTAAATACAACTATATATTATAAAATATCCTTGAGGTCTACCTAAAGACTCAGTATGTATATAGATTGCACTTTTGGTGTCCAAAACAACTTAAGCTTGACAGTTATTCATCATCAGTGTTCTGGTCAGTAGCGACAACCAGATAAAATGTATTAGCATTTTATAGGATGGAATTTACAGGTATCTAAGATTCCGCAATATTCCCTCCAGATCACACAAGATATTTACTGGAATTTTCCGGTCAATGGATAGATAGAGCGAAGTGTCGTTCATAACAACTACGTTATTTGTTCACCTTTCTTCTGAGGATCTTAAGATTGCGGTCCCTGCTATCTTCACCAATGAGGCCGTCTGCGTGGCAAAAGACCTGTCTGCATTCCGATGTTGAGGAAAGTGACTGCTATTTAAGCAAAGCAGTAAAATAAAGCAAACCGAAACATCACGAGCAACATTATGTACGGACTACTGACAGCCTTCTTATTGCTGTCACTGATGAATCAGTCGCGCGCCATTGGTGTGTCATAGGCATGTAGCCTAACGATAACCTGACGTAGTTTTCCTTTAATCACCAATTTCTATACCATGCATGCTGGCTCTAATGAAATTTATCCATTACCGGTCTCATTATTTACATTATAGTGGTGGCAACCGTCCGGTTGTCCGCTCATGCACTGCAACGAATTGAAATATACATGTTGCCCCAAAACGATGCATGCCTCCTCGTGAGTTCAAAATTAGAGCATTTTTACATTTAAAGCGGTAATATTAGTTTGTAATATATTCAATAAATTCATGCTAACCGTATGCCTTTCTACACTGTTAGTGTTGAATGTCAAGTAGAGACAAATACAAGGAAATTTTGTGGAATAATTAAATGTTACTTACAAACTCGTGCTGAACTATTCTCGTTTCTAACCAAACAGTCGGATGGGTTCCGCATGGACTGGTCTGTTAAGCGCACAAAATAATTTTTTTCCACCATGACTTTAAAATAGCGCATGCAAAAGCATTGATGGATGGGAAATCATTTGATTCGGTATAATCTGTTTACAATGCTTGGGCCTGAGGACCATGATTTGTATTTCTAAATATAAATATAAATATAAAATCTAGGATCATAGCCGGTCTTTAACTGTAATATGAAGGCGCTGCTTGACCCATATCTCTAGGGATAATAAAACTAACTTGAACCACCAATTAGATAGGGAAAATACTTTGATCACCTTTCCCAGTAAATCACAAGTTTTGATTTTTCAACTTTCTTCCCGCTCCCTCAGCTGAAATCCCGTGCTTGGCATCATTGGTTATCTGGGCTTTTTATGGACTGCACATGTACATCCGTTACATGGCAGGAGGAGGTCCCCTCTTACCTCCTACGAGTTACAATGAATGAGACGAAATTCCCTCAGGACTATCATGCGTTAGAATTTTTTGAGGCGGAATGGCATATTAACCGATTGCTTAACGAAGAAGCAGGAGATTGCTATTCCACCGTCACCTTGATAAACCAACCCAACAATAGTTCTAGTAAGATACCTTTGAGAATGCAAACATCCTGTCACCAGAGAAATATGGCTGTATAAAATGCTTAGTACAACAGATATTGGTCAAACTGTGGAAAGTTATGGGCACACGGAATTAAAATTATTAGATGACTTCGGCAATCAAAAATACTCATCACGTAGCGATGTGAGCTGCTTCATCTCTAAAACATAGTCTCCTCTTCCGTACTCCCTAGTCCTCGGAGAAGTTGACACTAATAAAGTTAAGTCAGTGGAATGAGGAAGCATTGGGTGTACATGAATTCGCTTCTAAGGTTCGTTTATTATATGTGAATGCTAATGTTCATTGTGGTTAGTTTGGGCATTACAAGTGTTGCTTAACCCATACCCGTCATTTAAACACATAATGGGGATATGATTCCTGATCTTAAAGCACGCAGTTATCAATTTTCATTTAATCTAAGCAATTAAGGATGTTGAGGTAATTGTATCGCCCAGTACAAATACGCTAACTCACACCTCTGGCAACGTCGATGGCACACGAATCACTGTACATCAAGTGATTTCATTACACCTTCATATTTATATCGGATTTAACATAGCACCACAAACGCAGATACCGGCTGGCCATAGCACTCAAATTTTTGAGGAAAAGGAGGCCAGTGCTTTGCATCTGCAATTGCTTATTACGTATCTCGCCGATACACAATCGTATTGTCTTAAACGATATAATTAGTTTGCTTTAACTTTGGTAACAGCCATCGGCAAGCGTTTTATTTCTATTTCTGGTTACCTAAACAAGGTGATTTCGCCTATCAATCGCCCTTAGTTTTATTGTATCAACATATGCAAATCGCATAGATTAATTCGGTTTTACATGTAGGAATATAGCAATTTAACCACACATCTCTGTTCCCAAAGTGATAATATTTCAGCAAAATCTTCACTAAATTATCATCTGAATCAAGTCAAATAGCAATGAATTACCAGTAATCTTTTTCGTCAATTGTTTAGTAGCAATTAACTGTCCACTAGAAGTCCTCCTTATATTTTGTGTGAAGTCCTGCACAACATTTCAGCTAACAAAGTTTACTCGGATTAGGCGATCACACCCAAATATTTCCATTCCCTACTCGTATAACCCAGTAAGAACAACGTCAGAAACGACACAAATTTGTTCGTGAGGAACTAGTATGCTGTTGAGGTCAATTTAGCCTACCTCGAATACCTGTTGTAAAATGCTGAAAATAGTATCACCCAGGTATATACAGCCTATTTAAGTAGCTTTGGCTTGCAAAATGTGGTTTAAAATTCGTGCAACATTAGTCGCTTTACTTTTTCTGCGGATTACTTTAGTGTGTGAATATACATGCAGTGAATTCTGATAAAACAACCAAATATTCATCACTGACCCAATGTTGCCGTGTTCGTCTGTTAACATCCACGGAAAGGTAATATCAAAAGACATTCGTTTGGGACCAAATGTATCACGTCATGAATTACACGATTATTGAGGGCAACAATATGCTTGCGCCAATATAATCATCTGAAAAGCAATATAACTAACACATTAAGAAACCAAAGCTTGCTTCATTGCATTGTAGTTATTCGGCTGAGCTACTACACACCACTACTTGTGAATCTTGAGTACCATGAAAGCAGCAACTCACTATTCCTGCTTGGTAGCCCAATAGCCGTTATAATCGCACTCCTCGTGGTTTAACTCATCGACGAACATGAGTGAATAGTCTAATGGGTTACTTTCGGAGGAGAATTTCTGGTGTAAAGTTAGTTTGTATTGTCTTATTCGCTTCCATAAATGTCCTCGCTCTGCGCCATTTCGTATTCTGGAACATCTCTTGATGGAAACTTTCTGATCAACGAATTTCCTGAATTTCAGAAGCTAGAATAAAATACAATTTTTACTGCGCATTCAAAAAATATAAAAAAGCAAATGTTTTAATTGCAAGTATACTTTGCTATTGGTTTGCAAATATGAGAACAAACATTTTGCGAATCAAATTAGGAGTTAGATGTGGCGCAAATACCAGATGATTGCACGAAAATAGCTATCTTTTTGGGTAAACTTACCGAGCTGCAAACGCTTGGGTAGGCCAGTCCAGTTAGAATAAAATCTGTCAAACATAATTGTCATACAGAACAACGAGACTTCATAAAACAGTCAAGTTTGCCGCGATATTCTGCTCAAAAATGTACGTCTTTAATATTCTACACTATCGATGGAAGTACATTACCCAAATTAGCATGTTTATGGCTTGTTACAAGGCACACTTTATCGTATGATATTAATATACAACAGTAGCGGGTCAACAGGTAACTGGGCAATGAACATAGTCTGGTAAGCTTTTGTCGGTTTACTTCTATTTACCTGCCGATTGCGGTTTTCTTTTTGTTAGAGTACCGATCTTCCATTTGTTTTTATGCTACCCAACCATTCATTCAAGGCTGCGTCCTCCATTTGCAGAAGTGGCACGGGGTCTTACTCTGGCGCAATCCCCATCCAGGCCCTTCTCTTATTAAGCAATTGTAATGGAATCATCCAACAGCATACGATGTTTTTGTTTTACATTTCAGTTGCCCCCACCTATTGTGACACAAGTACTAGTTGAAAAGATAAGGCCTAGAAAAGTTCGAATAAACGCATACCTAATTATATTCAGCATACTAGTTCCTCACGAACGAATTTGTGTCGATTCTGACATTGTTCCCACTAGGTTATACGAGTAGGGAATGAAAATATTTGGGTGTGATTGCCTAATCCGAGTAAACTTTGTTAGCTGAAATGTTGTGCAGGACTTCACACAAAATATAAGGAGGACTTATATTGGACAGTTAATTGCTACTAAACAATTGATGAAAAAGATTACTAATAATTCATTGCTATTTGACTTGATTTAGATGATAACTTGGTGAAGATTTTGCTGAAATATTATCATTTGGGAACAGAGATGTGTGGTTAAATTGCTGTATTCCTACATGTAAAGCCGAATTAATCTATGCGAATTGCATATGTTGATACAATAAAACAAAGGGTGATTGATAGGCGAAATCAAGTTGCTTAGGTAACCAGAAATAGAAATATAACGCTTGCCGGTGGCTGTTACCAAAGTTGAAGCAACTTATTTATCTTGGTTAAGACAGTACGATTGTGAAGGGGCGAGAAACTGAATAACAAATTACCAGATGCAAAGCACTGGCTCCTTTTCCTCAAAAATTCAAATGCCATGACCAGCCGGTATCTGCTTTCGTGATGCTATGTTAAATTTGATATAAATATGAAAGTTTAATGAAATCGCTTGAAATACAGCTCTTCTCATGCCATCGAATTTGCCAGATATGTGAGTTAACACATTTGTGCTGGGCGATACAATTATCTTAAAATCCTTGATTGTTTAGATTAAATGGAAATTAATAACTGCGTGCTTTAAGATCAGGAATCATATCCCCATAAGTGTTTAAATGGCGGTTATGGGTTAATCAACACATGTAATACCAAAACTAACCACAATGAACGTTATCATTCATATAAAATAAATGAACCTTAGTAGCGAATCTATGAACACCCAATGCTTCCTCCTTATACTGACTTACCCTTATTAGTGTCAAATTCTCCGAGGACTAGGGAGTACGGAAGAGGAAACTATGTGTTACAGATGAATCAGCTCACATCGCTACGTGATGAGTATTTTTGATTGCAGAAATCATCTAATAATTTTAATTCCGTGTGCCCATAACTTTCCACGGTTTGACAAATATCTGTTGTACTAAGCAGTTTATACAGCTAGCTTTCTTTGGTGACTGGATGTACGCATTCTCAAATTTATCTTACTTGGACTATTATTGAGTTCGTTTATCAAGGTGACGGTGGAATAGCAATCTCCTGCTTCTTCGTTAAGCAGTCGGTTAATGTGCCACTCCGCCTCGAAAAATTCTAACGCATGATAGTCTTGAGGGAATTTCGTCTCATTCATTGTAACTCGTAGGATGTAAGAAGGGACCGCCTCCTGCTGCCTAATGGATGTACATGTACAGTCCATAAAAAGCCCAGATAACCAATGATGCCAAGCACGGGATTTCAGCTGAGGGGGCCGGAAGGAATTTGGAAAAACAAAAGTTAATATTGCTGAGAAAGGTGATCAAAGTTTTTCACTATTTAATTGGTTGTGCAAGTTAGTTTTATTATCCTTAGAGATATGGGTAAAGTAGCGCTTTCATATTACAGTTGAAGACCAGCTATAATCCTAGATATTATATTTAGAAACCGTAAAGACAAATTATAGTCTTCAGGCCCAAGCATGGTGAACAGATTATACCGATTCCAATGAATTACCATCCACCCATGCTTTTGCATAGGCTATTTTAAAGTCATGGTAAAAAATATTTCCGTGCGCTTAACAGACCAGTCCATACGGAACCCATCCGACTGTTTGGTTAGAAACGAGAATAAATCAGTACGATTTTGTAAGTAGGCATTTAATTATTCCACAAAATTTCCTTGTATTTGTCTCTACTTGACATTCAACACTAACAGTATAGAAAAGCATGCGGTTTGCATGAATTAAGTAAATATATTACAAAATAATACTGTCGCTTTAGATGTAAAAAGGCTCTAATTTTGAACTCACGAGGAGGCATGCATCGTTTTGGGGCAACATGTATATTTCAATTCTTTGCAGTGCATGAGCAGACAACCGGACGGTTACCTTCACTATAATGAAAATAATGAGACCGGCAATGGATAAATTTCATTACAGCTAGCATGCATGGTATAGAAATTGGTGACTAAACGAAAAGTACGTAAGGTTATTGCTAGGCTACATGCCTATTGCTCACCAATGGCGCGCGACTGATTCATCAGTGACAGCAATAAGAAGGCTGTCAGTAGTCCGTACATAACGTTGCTTGTGATGTTTCGGTTTGCTTGAGGTTGCTGCTTTGCTTAAATAGCAGTCACTTTCCTCAACACCGGAATGCAGACAGGTCTTTTGCCACGCAGACGACCTCATTGGTGAAGATAAAAGGGACCGCAATCTTAAGGTCCTCAAAAGAAAGATGAAGAAATAACGTAGTTGTTATGAACGACACTTCACTCTATCTATCCATTGACCGGAAAATTCCAATAATATCTTGTGTGATCTTGAGAGAATATTGCGGAAATATACATACCCGTAAATTCCATCCTTTTATCTGGTTGTCGCTAATGACCAGAACTCTGATAATGAAAAACTGTCAAGCTTGAGTTGTTTTGGACACCAAAAGTGCAATCTATATACATAATGAGTCTTTAGGTAGACCTCAAGGATATTTGATGATATATAGTTTTATTTAACGTATCCTACATCAGTGTAGCTAGAAATTATCACAGCGAAACTTAGAGAAGCAGCTAATTAAATTAATTTGTGCTGAGTTTCTTAAATCACAGGTATTCTGTTTTCTATCAGAGCATTACTAACAGCAATGAACCCAATGAAACGATCCGTTTGAAATTCGCCTACCAAAACACTACGTTCACACTACCGTGCTAAGCAAATTATGATCTTTACTCTTGACAGATTTGAAGAGTTCCGACCGGTATGCGAAAGTAAGTAAAGGATATTTGTTTTCGGGCCTAATAGCCAGCGGGTTATTTAGTGCTTTGAAGCAGAAGCTCTTCATGATTTTATTATCTCCAGACAGCAGAAAGCTGTAGCATGTTTGTGTATATGTTGACATGTAGCATAATTTAATCAAACTGAACATCTATCATACTTAAGGTTACAACTAATTCCTTGCCAGAATTATCTTAAGTGGCATAAAAATGATTATAAACTGCATAGGGAGCAATTGAAGTCGAACGTTATAACGGGAACCTATACTACTGTTCCACCTAGCACACTATTGTGAGGGAGCCTTTAATCTTTTTCAGCAAAATATTCTTTATCATCTAAACGGTAAAATATCCACCCCGGTTGTCCGTGGCAAGAGATACACGCTGACAGATTAGACCCGATTAATTCAGTTGGGATTCTGTTGCGCATCTACGCCTTTTCCAATTGGGTTGAAGTGTATCACGTTACGAATAGAGGTCCGTAACAACCATTGTTAAAGTGCCTTAATCATTTGATTGAATCGCGGTGTATGTTAATCTTCAGCAATCCAATAATTCCCATTCAATAGATAGAATCAAATGAGGGCAGATAATGAGTAAAGAATCCATCATCCTCATTATCATCATGTGAAGTTTGTCTGACGAGATCTACCAAAAGGACTATTCACTCAGAATCTGCCTTCCTTTGATTCCTTCATCATTTGTCCTATTCAGTATTCCGGATAACTATGCACGGATAACGGGTCCCATTTTGTTAGCAGAAAGTTCAATCCATTCGAAACTAACAATGGAGTCCAGCTTATCATGGCTTGTCAAAAGTATTTATTTATTATTATTTATTTCAGCGAGTAATCGAGTGTTAGCTGTTATCGCATGAATCGCGAACGTCCTGGAATGTTCTAACACAAGCACGTGGCCACCAAACCCCTGAATGATTGGTCAACTCTATGTGGAACAACTAACCTTGGTAGCCGACCTTCTAATTCTAGAAATCGAAGCTCATGAGTTTACCTATGAATAACACCATGGTCTGCTGCCTATGTACAGTCCCAGTTTGAATACGGTTAACACACTATTATTCTGGACAAGGTCGTATTTACTTTTTCATTCGGTTGGGTTTGAGATCGTGCTGAATAGATAATGTGCAAGTTTCCGAATAGCAGCAAGCGAGAAGACTTATCTTAGGTTAAAAGGCTTCTCGCTGATGAAGAATAATAGCATCCACGTAACATTTATACAGCTTAGCTTTACTAATGACTTCAGCGATATTCATTTCATTTAGTGTTTTTAATATATAGGCCAGAACCGAGAAGACTAGTAGGCTTCCCATTGCAACGCCATCGAGTTACCTAGAACGAACATTTTCTCTACATGTTAATGTCAGGTCACTGTGGTACTCCGGAAGAAGGCCAACATATAGGTTTTGACTCAGAAGGTTAATTCATAATTCGTAGACAGTTTCGCGCAAGAGTAAGTTTGTGAAAAGCGAGTCAACATCTAGCGAGTACAAGTGATTGTTTTGTAGTGACGTAAGGTCTAGTGTCTCGACTAATTCGAAGGAGTCCGACAAATAATATGTGGCCTGAAGTTTATAAACCGGTTCCAGCGATTTATCCAACCAACGAGCAAGCTTGTAAGTAAGTACCATTCTTGCGTAACTTTGGTGCGTCTCTCGTTCCTGGAGTTTCCTTCTCATCGACTTCATTTGCCGGTACACTGATTCGGTGATGTACCCAAACAACATAGAATTTGCAGTGTCTTTGTAAGCTGATTTTCTACCTTAAGATTTGTGTCAACAGTGTTGACCACTTGAACTTGCGGGTGTCCCCGAGAACTGATTAGAGATTGGAGATTAAATCCATTGAGTAAATTGAGTAGTAGAGAGCAGCAGGGAAATCTCTCGTCAGCGTCATCAATTCCGTATCATACTGGGTTTGATGCGAGTCGTTGCTTTACTCCGTTCCTCGAGGCTTCGTCGCAATGGCAGTGACGGCCGCAAGATTCCAGCATTCTAAGCGAATGTTTGTCCAAATTGTTCAGCTTGTCCATGCTTACAACACTTGATCCTTTATCCGGCTGCAAAACGGTCACAAGTTTCATCTTTCAACACTTTGATCGCTCTGCAAATTTCAGCTTCCAGACAGCACATTTGGCTTATTGGTGTTTTAAGGAATCGGTTTGCGATGCCCACGAATTCCGCATGAAACCACCTTGCACCTTCAGTTGATCTAGGTGATAGCTTGCTTACTTGCTCATGCAGACACACAAAGTTCACCTGCGTGCTAATCCGGTAAACATTCCTCAGTGGCAGCCTATGCATTATTCCTAGTGCAAGAACTTCTAACTTTTTTCTTGTGAAGTGAGCTGATGGAAGACTGCATATGTGTTTGATGCACTCGTCAGCGAACGCTTCTTTGGTGATTCTTGCACGAAAGCCTTGCAAGTTGTGCAATGTTTCAACCCACGTAGGGCGGATATTTCCGGCCAGAAATGCTCCAAACTTGAGGCGGCAAACAAACGATAGCTGGTTAAGAATACCCACAGATAGCATTTCTGTCACCAGATACGCGTGCTTGCGATCAGGTCAGGCGTCCATATGGAAAGATGCAACCATAGCCAGATTGGTTCCTTTTACTGGCAAGTCGTTCCTTGATAGAGTTCTAGCGTACGGGGTTGGATCTCAACCTGACTGGCTACAATCGTTGTATAATCTAATCTGCACGCGTACCATCTTTAACTTGCACCGCAATGATAACAACCGAGCCAATGTCTTCGCATCAATATCGAAAAGACATCTTTTGAAGAAAGGGAACAATTGTGCCTATTTTACCCACTTGCTCAAAGCAGATAGAAGACTAAGTTTGCGACATGTTAAAAGTAAGATTATTATCACCAAGCGCAAACTAATCCATTTGGGTAAAATAACTGATGTATCTACGCGTTCAACGAAATTATACGGATAATCGAAGTTATGCAGTCAAGACCACGGCTATCTGATAGACTGCTTCAGCTGCATTTGCGCGCTCAATGCCGGCCGGTTTACCGCAATCAGTAATGCCTCACTGATTGCCATTATTTTCAAGTTGCGGTTGATGATTGGCAACTTGAAGCCTTTCGATGGATCCACGGGATGGCCTGTCATCACGAGGGGTTTTATAATAGGGGAGGCGGGTTTTTGAATCTCCAATTGATCGTTCCCTCTAAGTCCTACCATTGATTGATTTAACCACTTTAGATAATCTTCAGCCTCACACTGTGTCCTAGATCGGTCTTGCCTACCTAGAAATCACCGCAGCGCCAGGTGCACTGATAAATCATATGGAGGCCAAACCGACTGACAAACGCTCAGGATGGTAGTTGATCTCTAGTCATCGTGTCTTGTGAAGAATTCGCAGACACCCGTTGGCATAAGTGCGCATTACAGCAGACGTAATGTTACGGTTAACTGCGTTTGAAACATTTTATCCTTGGAACGGTATAAATAAACAAACATCTATCTCTCTGTTGCCTTTTAGAAACCCGTTCACAAGACCCCAGCACTGTGCTTGCATTGCCAATACCAACTGACCAAGAAGCCAGACATCAAATTTCTTCCAGGATATTTTGGAGTGCTTTGATCCCATCGCAAATCCTCTGATGGTTCCACAAGTATAGGCGTTTCTAGTAGCTGTGTGCTACCCTAGCAGGTAGGCCGCGTCTCAAATCAGCGAAAAGTCAGCTTGTGAATGGTATTTCTCCCGGGTATACTGATCTAAAATCTCATACTTCAGGCACTGGAGCAATATGAATTGTTCAAACCTATCTGGACCGATTGCTTTGTATTGACAGTTTGGTACCGCCTAGAGTAAATGAATCATAAATTCGTTTTAAGTTTCGTCTGTTTTCTTGGAGAGCTTAGAGCCGTTGCATATAGCTATAAATAGACTTTTGCGAACTCCCCAAAGATCGGTGAACGTATTCATGGCACTTATTATGGTGGAGCGGGCTTTCACAGTAAGGACGGGGACAAAATATATCAGATTTTCACCCTTAAAGGATTTTCGAAAGTTTATTTGTGTTTCTCCGAAA